TTACAACCATGAGTCTGTAGTACTCCGAGTGTTACAACCATGAGTCTGTAGTACTCCGAGTGTTACAACCATGAGTCTGTAGTACTCTGAGTGTTATAATAAGGAGTGAATTGGTCTGGCACCTCTACAGAACACTTGTTAAAATGGGTTTTCTTCTTTTAACTTGAGAGTGATACACATTTAATATTTTTTTTCAATAAAGACTTATTTTGTAAGTCAGCATATAAAGATTTATTCTGGGGGCGCCTGGGTAGCTCAGTCAGTTAAGCAGCCAACTCTTGATTGACTCAGGTCATGATATCTCGGTTCTGGGATTGAGCCCCACACCAGGCTCCACGCCCAGAGAGCAGTCTCCTTGAGGATTCTCTCTGTCCCTCTTTCCCTGCCCCCACCCCGCTCATGCTCTATTTCCCTCTTAAAAAAAAAAAAAAATCTTTAAAAAAAAGAAAAAACTTGGGGCGCCTGGGTGGCTCAGTGGGTTAAAGCCTCTGCCTTCGGCTCAGGTCATGATCCCAGGGTCCTGGGATCGAGCCCCGCATCGGGCTCTCTGCTCAGCGGGGAGCCTGCTTCCTCCTCTCTCTCTGCCTGTCTCTCTGCCTACTTGTGATCTCTATCTGTCAAATGAATAAATAAAAAAATCTTTAAAAAAAGAAAAAACTTATTTTCTAGGTTGTTAGTTTTATGAAACCCCTTCAGTTGATGAAGTGGATGGTTTGTAAGGAGACAGCTTATGATCTGTAACTGTATAAAAGCAAATAAAAAATGAGAGGAGTTAATGTCATGTACATTAAATGTTATTTATACCAATATATCTTATTTGATAGTAAAAATGGGCAATCTTATATAACTACAGAACTTTATTAATTTGTAGATTAACCTGCATGTTTTAAGTGTTCAGTTTAAAGGAAAGGTTCTCCTTGCTGTCATCAATATAGCTATGTTGCCATATTGAGTAAAGTAATGGATATACATACTGATAAGTAGGTCTGCTTTTACCAATTAATTTGTCTTTGTTATTTATATGGAAAGTGGCCTGCAATTCCTTTATAAAGCTTTGAAATTGCTAAGACCCCTCAGTGTTTTCTGTGCCGGGAAGCCTCTTCATGTAGGAGACATTTCATCACTTTCCTGAGCAGTGCTCCTTACAGCACCTCCTACATACCCTAGCAACCTAGCACCAACTTGACGCACAATATGTACTAAGTAAAAAATTGATGGAGTAATAAATATATTTTACTGTGTGAATATTTATTTTTTAATTTTTATGTGCCTGTCTCATCCACTGAACTACAAAATCTTTAAGACAAACACCATGTCTTATTCAGTATATATTTTTTTAGAATTTATCATAATATTAATCATGGGATGAAAATAATTCATGTATCAGTCTGATGCCATTTTGACTGCAAGTGACAGAAAACTCAGCAATCACACCTTAAATAAAGTTAGGTAATCATTCTCACATGGCAAGAAAACCACAGGTACACATTCTAGCTTTCATGCTGCAGTTCAATCATTCAATCAAGTGCTTTTCCTCTTTCTGTTCTACCATTTTAAATATTATAAGGTGGCTGTTACACTTGCCTTCTTCCAGAATCATGTCTTGGTTTAGGCAGAAAGAAGCAGAAGAAAAGAGTTTTTCATTTTGTGATTGTTTTTTTCCCATGTTTTTTAGGTGGGAAACTTTCCCTGCAGATTTCCCCTAAAATCTCAGCCACGACTAGTTCCTATGCTGACTTGAGACTAGTAAATGCTCAGTGAAGTGGAGGCCATCATGGAAGAGACCAGTTAGGATTTAGCCCCTGGGATTAAAATAGACATTTATCCTCCCAAAAATCAATAGCTTCTGCCTTCCACTTAAACAGGTTGTGCTTGAATTAGCAGGGAAAAGAGGATCGCTGAGTAGTTAGTGGACAACATATATTACAGTAAATATTACCTGAAAAGAATTGGATTTCTTAAAATGAATTATTCATGTCATATGCTACCCCCAATTGCATCATTATATTTTTATTTTTACTCATTTGGCAAAATGTAGTAGGAGCAATTTCTGGTTTTTTGAGGAAAATTATAAATGCATGAGTTTTTCCATATTTTTAGTTACAGTGGAAAGGAAAATATGCAATATTGAAAGATACATTGTTTTCATAAACCTTCTTTTTTAAATGTAGGTCTTGCTCTTGTAATTGCAAGGGAAACTCAAATATAATTATGTTCTCTGTCTTTTCTTAGACCTGAAAAGATAAATATGAATTTAGATTCCATCCATCGGTTAATTGAGGAAACACAAATCTTCCAGATGCAACAGTCATCAACAAAACCGCCTTGTGACATGGTAGCACCTGCTTCCCTGCCCAGGGACACTTGTCATTACTGTTTGCCACTTCAGGGGCTGCAATCACATTCTGCTCACAACGTCTATGCACACTCATGCAACAGCAGTGAATGGAATATCTGTGAAGAGCTTCGCCTGCGGGAACTTGAAGAAGTCAAGGCCAGAGCTGCCCAGATGGAGAAGACCATGCGGTGGTGGTCAGACTGCACTGCCAACTGGAGAGAAAAGTGGAGCAAAGTTCGGGCTGAAAGGAACAGCGCCAGGGAGGAGGGAAGACAGCTCAGAATAAAATTAGAGATGACGATGAAAGAATTGAGTGCATTGAAAAAGAAACAAAGTTTGCCACATCAAAAGGTGTTAGAAATCACCCAGGACCTGAAGCATCCTGGTTTCATAGAAGTGCCCTCTGCACGAGGAGAACGATTTCAAATTGGTTCACAAACATGTAAGTCTATCAGAGAACGTCTGGTGAAAAGAGAATTTCCTACAAAGGACAATACAGATAGTAAGGTAAGAAAAGAACTCAGTAGAGGAATTCAGAGATTATGAGCATATTCAAATGCCGTATACAGTAACGGGGAGGAAAGGGAAAATGACAAACCCGGTGGTGACTATATTTATTTGCTTGGGCTGCCATAACCAGGTACCACAGACTGGGTGGCTTCAGCAACAGAAATTTATTTTCTCATAGTTCTAGAGGCTAGAAGTGTGAGATCAAGGCATAGACAGGTTTGGTTTCTTGAGAGACCTCTCCTTGGCTTATAGATGACCATCTTCTCCCTGTGTCTTTATATCATCTTTTCTCTGTGTGTGTTTTATCTCCAAATTTCCTCATAAAGAAACTATCTCTAGGCCCACCATCATGACCTCATTTTAACTTAATGATCTCTTTAAAGACCCTATACCAAATGCAGTGTCATTCTAAGGTACTGGGGACAGGGGCAGGGTAAGACTTCAACATAGGTTTTTGTTTTTGTTTTTGTTTTTTTAATTTTTATTTATTTGACAGACAGATCACAAGTAGGCAGAGAGGCAGGCAGAGAGAGAGAGGAGGAGGAGGCAGGCTCCCTGCTGAGCAGAGAGGCCGATGTGAGGCTCGATCCCAGGACCCTGAGATCATGACCTGAGCCTAAGGCAAAGGCTTTAACCACTGAGTACCCAGGCGCCCAACATATAAGTTTTTGAATGAGACACAATTCAGTAGCCCATATTACTGATCTTACTTATAGTTTTAAGAAAAATTAACTCAGCATTTTTTATGTGAAAATTAAATATTTAGAGAGACTACTCTCTTTACCCTAATTATGACAATAATAATAAATTATTCATACAGTAGTTTAAACATTTCCCGAGATTTGGGACTTTAGCCTCACAATTAATTCCTATAAAATGGGTACCATAGGGAAATATCTTTATGGAATGCTTCACATTCACATTATCCACTTTGGGATTTTCTTGGTATTTTTGAAATCTTGAAGTTTTTGAGAATTCTGCATGAAATAAACTTTTTAAAAATTTATTTTATATAGCAGTTCATAACCTTATTTATCCATTTTTTTTAACATGGAAAATACTGTTAACAACCTATGGACCATACTTGCAGAAACTTTAGGAATTCATTTTATCTCTTTAAATAAAATCTGTTTATATCGTTATTCCTTTCTACTTAATTCTACTTATTTCCTTTAATTCCTTTCTACTTAATTCTACTTATATCGTTATTCCTTTCTACTTAATTCCTTTCTATTTAATTCCACCTCTAAAAATATAAATCATAATATCTTGTTCTTCTATAATTCCATCTAAAATTTTAAGCCTTTCTATGATGCATGAGATTTATGGTAGCTATAACCTAGATTCCATTGAAATGGAAATTTTTCAAAGACTGAAATGTATTTTACTGTAATGTAGAACATATAAGAAAAAAAACTTGAGGAATGCAAGTTAAAGTTCAACCATATACCTCTTACAGACTGATAAAGAAATGAAAATAGGAATTTCATGCTGAATCATAACATTTATTTCCTTCCAAAAATATGTTTTCTTCATGATTTTTCTACACCAGATTTAAAAAATAACAATAATTATTTTATATGTTTTTTTCTTTTCAGGAAGAAGGTTTGATTATTGGCCAGTTAAGATTAAATGAGGAGATGAAACTCAATCTTGACTGTCCTAATTCATTCAAAAATGGTGGTTCTGAAAATTGCACACTGAAATCTGCATTAAGACTGCAAGCAATAAACCTGCCTTTGGAGAGTAAAGTGCCTGAAATTTCAGCTTTGCAGGTGCATCTGGATGAGTTCCAAAAAATTTTATGGAAAGAAAGAGAGTAAGTGCTAATCATTTTTTCCTTTAACCAAGCCTGATTTTCAAACTTATTGACGTTAAGTCTAGCAAGCAGGCCATTTGATAATGTATTTGACCTATGATTAGCCATGAAGTAGTAATATTTTAAAAATGAGTTAGGGACACCTGGGTGGCTCAGTCCTTAAGCATTTGCCTTCAGCTCAGGTCATGATCCCAGGGTCCTGGGATCAAACCCCACATCAGGCTCCCTGCCCAGCGGGAGCCTGCTCTCCCTCTCCCACTCCCCCTGCTTGTGTTCTTGCTCTCGCTGTCTGTCAAGTAAATGTTTAAAAAAATAAATAAATAAGAATAAAAATGAGTTAGATGTATATTCATTTTTTGAATTTTTAAAATATTAAATATTTAATATATAAATATTAATAACACACTACTGCACAGGCAGTGGGCCAAATTACAAATACAACAGCAAATCAGCATGTTTCAAAACATAAGAAAAAGAAAATACAATATTCTAAAATCTGTGGGATGCAGCAAAAGTAGATGTTAGAGTGAAATTTATCCTAAAAATACTTGTGTTAAGAAAAAAAGTTCAAATAAATAACATTTTACCACAAGGAACTAGAAAAAAAAGAACTTAGCTAAAATTTAGTAGAGGAGGAAAATAACAAAGGAAAATCAGAATTAAATAAAAAAGACCAGAATAAACAAAAACTTAACATTAAAGTAGTGACCAGTTTAAAAAATAATAATAATAATAAAATAAACAAAATTGGCAATGGTTTAACTACATTAACCAAGAAAAAAGAGAAGACTCAAAAACCAAAATGAGAAATGGAGGAGAAAATAATACAATAGATATCCACAGAAATATAGAGTATGATGTTACCATAAACAAACTTAGGAAAAACAAAACAAAACAAGATGATTTCTAAAAACAAACAAATTACCAAGATTGAATCATGAATCTTGAATCCAAGAAATAGGAAATCTTCTTAGACCAATAACAAGAATGAAAGTTGAATTAGGAATCAAAAATATTCCAACACAGAAAAGCCCAGGACCACATGGTTTCATTGGTGAATTCTATCAAACATTAAAAAAAAAAAAAATTAATGACAATTTTATCAAAATCTTACAAATAATGGAATAGAGGAAATATATTCAAAATCATTACATGAGACCATCACTACCCTGCTACCAAAGCAGGACAGAAACAATACAAGAACAAAAAATTCTAGTTTTAGTCTATATATTTAGTCTAATATAAGCATCGCTCCTCTGACTTTCTTTTGATATCCATTTGCATGATAAATATTCCTCCATCCCCTCACTCTCAATCTGCAGGTGTCATTAGGTCTAAAATGAATCTCTTATAAGTAGCATATAATTTTTTAATCTATTCTGATACACTGTGTCTTTTGATTGGAGCATTTATTCCTTTACATTGAAAGTTATTATTGATAGATATGTATTTACTGCCATTTGGACCCTTACACAAAGATAAAAGAGTTTAAAAAGAATCAATCAGTGATGAAGAATGCAATAAGTGAGATTGGCAACAGGCTTGATGCAAGGAACTACAGGCTGGAAAAAGCAGAGGAATGAATTAATGACCTAGAAGACAAAATAATGGAAAATAATGAGGCAGAACAAAAGAAAGAATTATACAACATGAGAATAGACTTGGAGAATCAGTGACTCTATCAAATGTAGTAATATTCATATTATTGGAGTCCCAGAAGAAGAGAGAGAAAATGGAGCAGAAAATATATTTCCAGAAATAATAGCAGAAAATTTCCCTAATCTGAGGAAGGAAATAGTCATCCAGATCCAGGAAGCACAGAGAACTCCCATGAGAATCAATAAAAGCAGGCCAACACCAAGGCATATTGTAATTATATTTTCAAGATACAGTGATGCAAAAATAAGAAAAGCAACAAGACAAAAGAAGTCCTTCACTTAAAAGGGAAAACCCATAAGGCTAGCTAGAGATTTCTCAACAAACTTGGTGAGCCAGAAGGGAGGGCATGACATATTCAAGGGCTAAATGGGAAGAATCCGCAGCCAAGAATACTCCATCCAGCAAGGCTGACATTCAGAAGGTAAGGAAAGATAAAGAGTTTCCCAGACAAAGAGAAGCTCATGACAACTAAACCAGCCCTGCAAGAAATATTAAAGGGAACTCTTGATTATAAAGGAAAGACCAAAAGACAAGAAAGGATCAGAGGAAATCTCCAGAAACAATGGCAAAGAAGTCAATTTTTGAATTTTGAAGACTAATTTATAACTTGTTCATTTTTAGTTTCTCTCATTCTTTATTATAACCTTGTTCTCATCATCTTTGGCAGATTTACCTTAATTGTGTTTGAATCAGTAATGCATTTGGCTAGAATAGCCAGTGGGTTTTCTAATTTTTACATCATTAGTAGACATCAGCAAGTCAATAAAAATGAAAAATATGTTAATATTCATAAGGGACAGTTCACAATTTGTGATTTATTGATTGCAGAAAAACATGCTTTATTCATTGATCATTTGTGAGCACTAGATTTGAGATTAAATGACCTGGATATCCTCCTTGGTTCTGACATATTCAGCTACATGATAGTGGGTTAGCCAAGACTGTGCTGTTGTCGCCTTTGTAAAAATATGGATAGTGGTACCTCTATTCCAGTTATATGTGTGTGTGTGTGTGTGTGTGTGTTTAATTTATTTGACAGAGATCACAAGTAGGCAGAGAGGCAGGCAGAGAGGGAGGAAGCAGGCCCCCTGCTGAGCAGAGAGCCCGATGCAGGGCTCGATCCCAGGACCCCAGGATCATGACTTGAGCTGAAGGCAGAGGCTTTAACCCACTGAGCCACCCAGGTGCCTCTTATATATTGTTTTATAATAAAACTTCCCACACAGTGGTTAGTGTTGAAACAGCAATCACCATTTATTCTGTTCATGAAGCTTGAGCATGGCTTTGTGTGGACAACTCATCTTTCACTACATGTGGATTCAGCTGGATGGCTCAAGGCTGGAGATGACTTGAAGGCTGGGGGCCAGAATCATCTGAAGCCTCCTAACTTTACTCTCATATTTGAGACTATCATTTTGAGGGATCATTTGAGACATGCAGGACTATCCATGTGGCCACTTTGATTCCTCAGAGTGTAGTGGCTTGGTCGAAAGTGAACTTCTTGACACAAAGAGAAATATATGGCGTTTTAATGACCTTGTCTCAAAGTCATATAACATCACTTCTGCCCTCTCCACTGAATTCTTGTGAGAATCAAACATGAATTATGTGTGGGAAGGTAACTACTAGTGTGATTTACTCAGTATGATTTTTTTGTTATTTATTCATGATCACCTTAGACAATTATTAGCATTGTGTGGAATAGTTGATACACTGTCAAATACAGTTCCCAAATCTGAAAATCATTATTTTTCTGTCTCTTTAGTTATAAGACTCTTAATGGGTAGGAAAAAATGGGAGAAATAAGCATGAATATAAATAAATATGAATATAAATATATATTATATTATGGTTTCAATTTTCCTTATTTAAATGGATTGGAATAATGATAACATGCCCACAAACCTTTCACAGGTAGTATAAGCCCTTTATATGCCATTCTGTATGTTAGCCAGAAATTTCTCATTAGTCCCTCTGAAATTTAGTCCCATCCCTAATTCCCTTTTTCAGATGCTTTGTCTGTACCTCACCATATGAATCGATTGTGATAATGCAATCATAATACAATAGATTATAATAATATTCCTGTGTATGGAATAAATATTTGTTATTCTACCATCAAGTATAAATTCCAAATAGAGGTGATTGACATTAGTGGGAAGGAGAAAAAATTGAATTAATTTTTAGGCCTGTACCCACATAGAAATTTCATCTGGAATTGTAAGTTGCTGTCAAGTTCTAACCTCTGTGTTTTATTTCTTGAAGGATTTAACTTTTTAGTGGTTATAGACTTCTCTCACACCCACTCACAGTGTTACTTCCCTGACATAATGTAGTAGGACCATAGGAAGCTGCTCCTTCCTACATGTAAACAGCCTGAGGTGCCAGCTTTAATGATACACATGTGTATCTCTACACTCCCACTCAGACACACATACACACACACATTATGTTTGACTTCCTGGGGATAAATTAACAATCCCTATAGTAAGTAAATTCTCCAGTTTGCTGGGACGTCAATATATAAACCATAGTCAGGCCAGAAAATAAGGGGGAAAGGAGACCTCTGATACCACTTTGTCTCCTCACTCCTCTCTTTCAGGAACAGGCCCGTGGGTGTTACGTGTCCGTGAGTCAGCATCAGCATGCCGTCCATGCGAGGCAATCACAAAGCCTTTTTTCTATCACAAGAGAATGTTTCCCAAGGATATAGTATATGCTGTTGCAATAAATCTGTCTAACTTTTTCAAGTTTTCCTCCTGGAATCTGAGCAAGTGGATGGGCCAGAGTTGAGAACATGTGAATGTAATCTTTTCTCTGTTTCCAACTAGTGGGAAAATTCTCTTAACTGGAGCGCAGGAATCAGCCAAGAGAACTCAGGGGATCCTTCCCACCGTTGTCACTGATGAGAACCTCCTTATCAGACACAATAAACTTTATCATATTATTTGCATTCTGAGCACTATTCGGTTTTATGAAAATAATTATCCAGTATCTAGAAGTTCCTCAGGTATTAGAATTTATGCATTTTTGATCTCTCAGATAAAGACTTCCCAGGCAGAAAAGGTGAGGTGAGGAGGGGATCTGATCCTCCTAGAGAGAGAGCTAGGTGTAACTAGACGTTGAGGGAGAGGAACTTTGGCGACGTCATATCGTAAATAAAGGTGACGATGAGGTAAAATATTTTACCATTTAGAACCAGTTCTCAAATTAAACTGCAGATGGCACCTGTATCCCTTAGAAAATGTTTGCTCCATGTCATTTCAGCACAACTTCCGTCCTCCTCTCTCAACTTTATTTATGGTTTATTTTCTATAGCAGGAAGGTAATATGCTTCAATT